AATAAGGGAGACACTAACTCAGCATGGAAAGGAGGTGTTTGCACATCGCAACTCCCCTTCCCACGGGGAAGAGGGGAGACAGTGTGTGAATGCATGGAACGTATTTCCTCTGCTATTAGTGTAGGGGGAAATCTGCAGGGTGAGTAAACCAGTGGTGGGATTCAAAAAATTTTTTACTACCGGTTCTGTGGCCGTGGCTTGGTGAGCGTGCCTTGGTGGGCGTGGCAGGGGAAGGATACTACAAAATTCCCATTCCCTCCCCACCCCACTAACCTGCTTCCCAGCTCCATTCTCCTGCGCAGGGCAACAAAAGAAGACCCAGCCGATCAGCTGGGACTCAATGGGAGGCAGAGAATAGCCCCAGAGGTGGGATTTGCCAGTTTTCTGAACTACTCAAGATTTCCACTACCGGTTCTCGAGAACCGGTCAGAACTGGCTGAATACCACCTCTGGAGTAAACCATAGAATAATGGTCAAGTTGCTTCCATTAGATCAGGACTGTTCCAATCTTGGCGATGTTGAGACTTGTGGACTTCAACTCCCAGAATTCCCCAGCCAGCATGGGTATTTTTTCTTTTTTTAAAAAAAACTCCTCCCTTTCAGCCCCCAAGTTAGAAAGTGCACTGGTAAAAATGAGAAGATAAATTATTCTATCATCTTTTTTTTTTCATGCTAGGGTACAATTATTGTGTTTGCTTTACAAAGAAGTGCTCCAGTTTAGAGTTTCCATATTCAGTTTTTCTTATAGCTCAAAAAGGGCAAGTCCTAAAGCAATTAAAACTTTGCAACGCATAAAGAATGTATTTGTAGGTATCTTAAGGAATGGTCTTACATTTAATTAGTGTATTAGGATGCAAATGTTGAGCAGAAGCAAATGGTGAAATTGATCTGGGGTTCCCTTAGGTGGCCCTACTCATGGGGTAGGGGGTCTCAATTTTACATGTCCTTATGTGGAGTTCTTCGTGTTCTCTGAGCTGGGTTGTTTGCTTGTAGATGTTTGATTACCCAACTAGGTAACAGCATCAATGCTAGTAAGTAATTCAATGGTGGATTAAAAAAAATGTACTAACAGTTCTGTGGGTGTGGCTTGCTGGGCGTGGCTTGGTGGGCATGGCAGGGGAAGGTTACTCCAAAATCCCATTCTCTCCCCACCCCACTAACCTGCTTTCCAGCTCCGTTCTCCTGTGCAGGGCAACCAAAGGAGATCCAGCCAATCAGCTGGGGTTCAATGGGTGGAAGAGAATAGATGGAGGTGGGGCCAGTCAGAGGTGGGATTTGCCAGTTCTCCAAACTACTCAAAATTTCCACTACCGGTTCTCCAGAACTGGACAGAACCTGCTGAATACCACCTCTGGTTCTATGGCAGAATGAGCTACCTACCCATTTTTTACTACTGGTTCTGTGGGTGTGGCTTGGTGGGCGTGGCAGGGGAAGGATATACTGCAAAATCCCCCGTCCCTCCCCACCCCACTAACCTGCTTTCCAGCTCCGTTCTCCTGTGCAGGGCAACCAAAGGAGACCCAGCTGATCAGCTGGGACTCAGTGGGAGGCAGAGAAGAGATGGGGTTGGCGGGGCCAGTCAGGGGTGGGATTGGCCAGTTCTCCAAACTACTCAAAATTTCCGTTACTGGTTCTCCAGAACTGGTCAGAACCTGCTGAATACCCACCTCTGCGTTTATTGGAGATTTGTATCTGACACTGGTAGGCAAAGCTGAGATGCAGATAAGCAGGGATTAATACCAGGCAAATATTAAGCAGAAAACAATACTCTAATCTACTACTATCAAGGAAAAACACCACATTTCCATCAACACTGGTGGGACAAGTTACTGCACAGGTAGTTCTCGACTTGCAACATGTGATGACCCGCGGCATGGCACAAAAATAATAAAGTCACAAAAGTAGATAAATTCCCTTTAATACCTCCAGCTTGGCCCCCAATGTCCAGTTATCCTTGGCTGGAGATCAAACTCTCCCAAAAACAGTCTACAAAGGGAAGAAATGCAGTCCAAACCCAAAGTACAGATAAATTAGAAATAAAAAAACCCAACACGAACCACACTGAAGTAATTAACACGACAGGCCAGGATAATAAATTGCAGACTTAGAACAGATAACGAAGCACACACAGTTGGGAGGACGCCAAAACCCAGATAAGGCTCGACAATATAATGCACATTTGCTTCCAGCAAGCTGCTGTGTGCAAACACCCCTCTTATATCCTGTTCTCCCAGCTGCAACTAATGAAAGGGATCAGGGCCCTTTTCTCTCCCATAAGCCATGTTGCTCCCTTCTCTGTTCCTCCCTGCGTGCCATAGGATGAAGAGGGGATGGGCCTGGGTCTTCCTCTGAATGCCTAGCCGGACTGTGCCCTTCCCCAGTTTCCTCCACAGCCACCAGACCCCACTCCCATTCCCTGTCAGCTGTTCCACCTCTCCCTCAGAATCAGACTCCAACAAGGGCATGACACAATAGTTGGTTTAGTGACCATTCAAAGAAGGGACTTGTGGCCATTTTTCACAACTATGACCATTGCAGCATCCCTATGTTAATATGACCAGACACTTGGCAATTGGCTCATATTTATGACCGTTTCAGTGTCTCTCGGGGTCACAGGAACCCCTTTTTGCGACCTCCTTACAAGCAAAGTCAATCGGTGAAGCCAGATTCACTTAACAACCATGTTACTCACTTAACAACTAGAAATGATTCACTGAACAACCGTGGCAAGAAAAGTCATAAAATGGAGCAAAACTCACTTCTTGCTTAGCAACAGAAATGTTGGGCTCCATTGTGGTTGTAAGTCGAGGACTACCTGAATATAAACAGAGAGCAAACTACACACCCATGGTGATGATCTTTCTTAGTCAGGTAATGAAACATCTGCAAGCCAATGACCCAGCTCAGAGAGCACCAGGGACCCCGCTATTCAACCTTAAGCTACAGATATTTTTTTAAGTGTGGTTAATCTGGATTTTTTTTAAAAAAAGATATCTCTAGGACGGCTTGGAATTCATGCTAGCAAATCCTCTGTGACATATCTGATCCAGTATGTGTTGAAGGAATGCTGTAGCATATGGTGCTTTTAAATGCCAAGGGTTTTCATTTGTAGGAGGAAGGTAACTCATGCCTTGAATCCTTCCACGAAATGTACCGTTCAGGTGCCAAATAAAAGGAAGAGGCAACCATCACCAAAGCAATTAGTTGTCAGATGGAACAATTAAGGATTTATTTCAACTCAGGAACCCGCAAATGAAAAAATCAATAATGGCTCTTATAAAAAGGAAGCAATTACCTTGGATATTACCTAAGCTTTATCAATTACCTGATTTGATACTTGTGGCCAGGAGGGCGAGAGTTATTGCTTTTTCATTGTCTTTATAAGAGCAAATTCCGATTTCCCACTGTCTTCCCCATTGACCTGCTTATGAGAAGCTGGCAGAGTGTTGGAAATCACAGGAACATGACTGTGGCATATACTGCAGAAGTGCCGCAAAGGTCATGTCCGACCCATCACAACCCCATGGACAACGCTCCTCCAGGCCTTCCTGTCTCCTACCATCCATCCAGAGTCCATTTAATAATAGAAGTAATAGAAGGGATGAAATAATAGAAGAGATGAACTATAGGACAATGGTTTGCTTGTATGGTTGTATGAATATACAATTTTTTTTACTCTAGTTTTTGATTCCTTGCTTTTCAAAAGGAAATTCAACTTGGGTATTACCTAAGCTTACCAATTCCCTGATTTTAATACTTATTGCCAGGACAGCAAGGGTTATTGCTTTTTTCATTGTTTTTATACAGGGTAAAAAAAGCAGGGGAGCAAATTCCGATTTCCCACTGTCTTCCCCATTGACCTGCTTATGAGAAGCTGGCAGACAGAGAGTGTTGGAAATTACAGTCACATGACTGTGGCATACTGCAGAAAAAAAATCCAAAGCAGGGTAGCGGGTCTCCGGTGGCCACAGCTTCATCTTACAACTAGTCAAAAGAGGCTTGAAATTTTGACTTCTGGGGAATATGGCTAACTGAACACAAGAGATCTTCGAAGGATTTCTCCCTGGAGTGTTGTTCTTCTACCTTTTAACTGAAGGGACTGATATCCCATCAGTTTCTGTGACCCACCTGGTTAGGGTGTGTCGAAGAAGATCCCTGAAATTTCAATCCTAAGGGAATAATGGATCCTGGATTTTGGACATGTTCTTTAAATTAGTATTTTGGTTCCATAATTGTTCTCCTACGATGCACCATTTCACCCAGTTTAAGGTTACAAACAGATAGGAGAGTTTTAGTAGCATATAATGTTCAATTGGCTAGTTTCTGTAGCCAGTTTTGTTAATCGGTTTAATAAAATTTGCAAGAGCCTAGCCTTATAGACTGGGGCTTGCTACCAAGTTTTTAATGGAGTTTTTCAAAATATTATCAGTAGATTCTCTTTGGGTGCTCCAACCTGTCTCTATTCAGCTCACAGGACTGCAGTGGGGAAAAGTATGAGAAAATATTTTATATTGCAATTTCTGCTTCTAATAACACAATTAAAATAAAAAAGATGAGCCAATTTGTTACGTGATCTAAGAATTTGTTCCTGTCTGTTGAATTGAGCTCTAGTTTGATTCATCTCATGAACCTCAAGTTGGAGAAGGGTCAACTTTTAGCTGAAAGCTTCACGGTTGATTATTATAATAAACTCAATTATAATAAACTCAATTATTTACAGCCAATTGAGCTACATTAGAAAGCTACAACCTCCATGACATTTCTAAAACCATGGTTTATTCATTTGTACTTTATTCTTTCATTCTTTTTTCATGTCTTTAAACTTTTTAAAGGGAAACTATTTTGTTATTGTTCTAAGGAGCATCTGAGCTAGCAAAGCATGTTGTGTATGTTTTAATGAAGGATTTTTAAACCATATAACTAAAAAAACCAAACAAACATAAAATATTCATTCCTTTTTTCCCCCATGTGGTCTATCTGTTTATCTTTCTCTCATATAGACACATCCACAATAAATCTGGCCATAATGCTATGGACAGTTGGTATGACAATCCTGTGTCAGGTTATTCACCCAATAACAGAATCATGACCAAAGAACGCAGGAAAAGTTTCCAGACTGGTAAGTATTCTGGGTTGACCAGATCTGGCTAGGTTGGTGATCAAAGAAAGCTTTGTTCAAAGAGAATTTGTCAGGGGTGGGATGAAAATACAGTACCAGTTCTGTGGGCGTGGCTAGGTGGGAGTATCTAGGTGGGTGTGGCCATGTGACTGGGTAGGTGTGGCTTTTTTGCAGCACCCCCCACCCCATGCAGGGGCTGCCATAGGGAGGAAGGGGTCAAGCTATTTTCTAAAGCACCTGTAGGCCAGACAAGGAATAATGGATGGAAACTGAACAAGGAGAGATTCAACCTGGAAATAAGGAGAAACTTTCTGACAGTGAGAACAATCAACTAATGGAACAGCTTTTGCCCTTGGAAGTTGTGGGAGCGCCATCACTTGAGACCTTCAAAAAGAGATTGGATTGCCATTTATCAGAAAAGGTGTAGGGTCTCCCACTTGGTCAGGGGGTTGGACTAGATGACCTACAAGATCCCTTCCAACTCTGATTATCTGTTATCTGTTATCTGCAGGGTGTGTGTGTGTGTGTGCTGCATGCCCCCACACATGCCCCTTTTTACTCCTGGGCCTCAGGGAAGCCTCCTGGGCGAAGCAATAAGACAGCAAGGGGGATCCAGGCACAGCTGAATGTCAGAACAGCTGATTGTCAGGAGGAAAAAAAACCATACCGGTTCAGCTGAACCAGTAGCTGTTGTTGTTTTTTTACTACCGGTTCGTGCGAACCGGGCCAAACCGGTAGAATACCACCACTGGAATTTGTGTTTGGAGATTGGTCTCTTCATTTCCAAGAATCTGTCTGTCGAAATATCTTCAGCACCATGCCGGGAGAAGACAGCAACCTCCGATGAGTGAAATGGACTCACAAAAACCACTTGCAATCATGCCAATTTGAATTTTATAAAGAGAGCAAGTTCTTTCTAGGCAAAATAATGTTGTTAGTTGTGAAATCACGTCTGACCCATCGCAACCCCACGGATAATGTTCTTCCGGACCTTCCTGTCTCCTACCATCCATCCGGAGTCCATTTAATAATAGAAATAATAGAAGGGATGAACTGTAGGACAATTGTTTGCTTGTGTGTTTGTATGATCATGCTTTTTTTTTTTAACTCTGGTTTTTGACTTCTTGCTTTTCAAAAGGAAATCCAGCTGTTTAGGAGTGAAAAATGTGTGACCTTCCAAAAGAGGTCAGGTTGCTAGGTCCCATCATCCTAATATTGTCCACGCTGCCTGGAATTGGTCAGACCTGGAGTAAAGCTAGAAATATTTTGATGTGAGAGCTGAAAAGACTATTACAGTTCCATGTTGCATCAACAGAGTGCATCAGTCATCCTCTGTTCTGTTTTGGCTGGAGTTCTGGATCCAGCTCTGAGGGCCATCAAATAGAAAACTGACCAAAAGAGGACAACAAAGATAATGACGTGCCCCCAAGCCTTATAAGGGAAGGTTGTCTAACCTTGGCAATTTTAATGATGTAATTAATGCTTGTGTGGACTTCGGATCCCAGAATTCCTCCTGCCAGCATGAGTGACCCCACGGCTGGCTGGGGGATTCTGGGAGTTGAAGCCCACAAGTCTTAAGTTGCCAAGGTTGGATAACTCTGCTCTAAGGAATTATTGAAAGAGCTGATTGTGTATTCTCTGGAAGAAGGAAAAAAACAAACGATTACTTCAGGATAAAACATTTAGCTGGGCCATCTAGAAAGGTAGGCGAAAAGGGTGCAGGATTCTGGGTTTTGAAGAACATTTGTGCAGAGATAGGGAACAAGTCATACTGTATGGAAATGAGGTCAAAGGAACCAGCTATATGGGATCCTCTCTTCATTGACCTTAAGAAGGAGTTGCAGACTGAATACATTAGTTAGAGCAGAGGTCTCCAAACTTGGCAACTTTAAGACTTGTGGACTTCAACTTCCAGAATTCTCCAGCCCAGCTATGCTGAAGTCCACAAATCTTAAAGTTGCTAAGTTTGGAGACCCCCTGAGTGAGAGAGAAGATAATCCATGTCAAGTGATAGGGACCATTTTGGATCAAAGAAAACGGTACCTTATAAAGTGAAGGATCATTTGGGGGTACAGTCAAGATTTGGGCATGCAAGTGAATGGGCCCAACATTCAAACACTGTGTATTTCCAACTTTGAAGGTTTTTGACGGGAGCAGATTGGCTTGCTCTCTGTGACCACTCTTAAACAGAAGATGGTTTTTGGAGAATGTTATTATTACAGAATTTCCTTTATTTCTAGATGGTGGGAGATAGCGTAATCATTTCAGTGGGACGATGTGAGGAAGATTTAGGTACACAGTTTCCAGAAAAGTCCCCAAAAGGGTTCTAAATAATGTCCGAAATGATATGGGGTCTCCTGTTTAAGCAGGGGATTGGACTAGAAGATCTCCAAGGCCCCTTCCAACCTTATTAGTCTACGCTCTATGTTCTAATTACCACCAAAAAAAATCCCTTGTGTAGCCCACCCTCCTTTTGACCTTTTCTAGTTCATTTTTATTTTTTGCTTAGCCCAACTCATACAAGCAGGGTGAATTTCATCCCTCTTCAATTATATTTCTTTCTCTGTAGCATCTTCAGACACCAAGGAGGAATGCTTGGAAGCACAAATCAACAGATTAGCAGAATTGATCGGAAGGCTGGAAAACAAGGTGAGTATTCCTTCTTTTTTTAAAAAACAACAACAGCATTTTCTTGCCAAAGACAATGGATAATTTAAGAAGGTGTCTTCGAAAGGTTTGCTTTGAAGGAGAGAACATGCTCATTATCCAACACAAACAATCCAACCAAGTGTATCTATGCTAGAGCAATATTTCTCAACCTTGGCCACTTTAAGATGGGCAAACGTCAACTCCCACAATTCCCCAGCCAGCAAGGCATGTTATTCTCCATTTGGTAAGAATCAACCCAACATTGATTCTTCAAGACCAAGAAGCCCTTGACAGACTGTTCCCCATGCAGTATCTGTTGGCAACAGAGCATTCACTGCAAACCCAAGAGACCTTGGCCTCCGCTTGCCTTGCCCAATAAAGGAAAAGAAATGGTCAGATTCACAGGTTAGGAAAACCTCACTGAGGTTAGGAAAGTCTGAGAAAATGACCTATGTAGGACAAGCAGCCAGAACAAGTAGCAGAGCGCTTCCATGCACACAACTAGAACATAGAAGAATAGGATTGGAAGGGACCTCGGAGGTCTTCTAGTCCAACCTGCTGCTCAGGCAGGAGACCCTACACATTCCAGACCAATGGCTGTCCAGTTTTCTTCTTGAAAACCTCCAGTGATAGAGCACCCACAACTTCCAGAGATAAGCGGTCCCACTAATTAATTGTTCTCACTGTCGACTAGCAGCAGCCTTGATGAAAACTCCTCAATTGGGCAGCACCTAGGCAGACGTCACCATAATTTAAACTGGAAAACGGAGAGCTTAGTCTACCAACACAAGAGAATTCTTGGAAGCCCAATACTCAGACAAATCAGTCATCAACAGGCACACAGACACAAACAACCTCAACATCTTTTTCAAAAGAAACAATCAAAAAGCTGAAAGACCACAATGCTTTCTTGCCAGCAATCAACAGCCAGAAAAGCAGACATTATCACCAAGATTAAGATCAAGGAACAAGCAGTAATCAATATTGAGAGTTTCGCAGCATTAATTCAGTGCCAGAAAAATAAACACAGGTGGCTGATGCTTCATTTAACGTCTTTATAAACATAATAAGTAGATTTTACAAACCAGTTGTAGATCTCTCCAACATGGAGCAAGCTCAGACAAAAAACATGTTGCAAGTAACTTCAGCAGCGACTCGGGAGCTCAGAAACATACATCAGTTTCACTTGAGTTCAGCAGGCAAACAGAGGAGAGAAACAGTTTCATTTTCAATAGACAGACTCAGAGCTTAACATAGCTTCAGAGCTGCAGAGCTTAATAGAGAGCTATGCCTAGGCTACTTCTAGTTTCAGTTTCCAAACAGTTCTCATTGCGTGACTTAGTTGCTATGCCTATTCATTGGCTGACCTTGTTACCATGCTCTGTTCCAGTTCATGAATATACTCTGACAATCAATACCCCAATAAGTACCAATAACGCTCCTACCACCACTGATAGGGCAAGCCACTCAGAGGTGGTATTCAGCAGGTTCTGACCAGTTCTGGAGAACCACTAGTGGAAATTTTGAGTAGTTCAAGAACAGGCAAATACCCCCTCTGACTGGAGATTTTACAGCCTCCTTCCCCTGCCACGCCCACCAAGCCACACCCACACAACCAGTAGTAAAAACATTTGAATCCCACCACTGAAGCTACTAGTATATGAAATGAGAGCAATCCGTACTCCCTTCCAGCATTAGTAATGTTGGATAATAAAACATCTCCAAGGAAACCACCAAGCCCAGAGAACAGCAAGGACCCCACAGTTCAACTCTGAGCTACCTATATTCTCTTCTGTCAGTACTGATATTGTTACCTAGTTTGGTAATGAAACGTCTGCAAGAAAACTCCCAAGCTCGGAGAGCAGCAAGGACCCCGCAGTTTGGTCCTGAGCTACCAATATTCCCTTCTATAGATACTGATGATGTTACTTAGTTTGATAATGAAACGTCCTCAAGAAAAAACCGAGCTCAGAAAGCATCAAGAACTCCAGAGTTCAACCCCGAGCATTCAAGTAATGCTTTTGGAGTGGACATTCTCTAGGCCATTGGGTGAAATAGGAGGATGAGGTACCTGAGTTTTATGTGCCCCTTGGGGGGCTTGGCCAACCCAAGCCTTTTCTATTATTCTCCTTCCAAATGATTTAGCTGCGCTCTGAGCCACAACTTTCTGTCAAGCTTCCATTCGTTTCCCTTCTGAAAAGTTTAGCGTTAATGTAGGAGAAAATTATTCAACCCTGTTTAGCTCAGGGCTGAAAGAACAGTGAGAAGAAGGAAAAAAAACAACCAGTCCTTTCACTGTTCTTGAATCTTCCAGCATTTACTTCAGAAGGATGAGCCAAGTTCGAATAAGGGAAGAGACAAAGTAAAATTTCACTGCATTATTCACACCATGGATATTTGTTATCTTCATTTCTTATCCAGCCCTCTTCCCAAGCTAAAAACCGGGTTATGATGGATCCAAACAATGAGATTGTTCCAGAATAAATGTGGCTGAACAATTCCATTTAAAAATGGTAGAACATAGAATAACAGAATTGGAAAGAACTTTGGAGGTCATCTAGTCCAACAGCCTGCTCAAGGATGGCTCAAGATGTCACATTTCAGACAAATGACTATCCAGGCTCTTCTTGAAAACCTCCAGTGATGGAACACCCTCAACTTCTTAAGACAAGTTATTCTACTGGAATAACTCATTATTAGGAAATTTCTCCTTAGTTCTAGATGTCTTCTCTCCTTGATTAGTTTCCATCCTTTGTTTTTCGTCTTGCCTTCTGGTGCTTTGGACAATAGATTGACCTCCTCATCTTTGTGGCAGCCCCTCAAATACTGGAAGACTGCTATCATGTCTCCCCTGGTCCTTCTTTTCACTAGGCTAGATATCCCCAATTCCTGCAACCGTTCTTCATATATTTTAGTCTCCAGTCCCCTAATCATCTTTGATGCTCTTCTTACTAGAGTCTCAACATCTTTTTATATTGGGGTGATCAAAACAGGATGCAGTATTCCAAGTGTGGCCTACTAAGGCTTTGTAAAGTTTAGAATTTAGCCTTGGTACTTAGGAAGCAGCCGCGAATGAAAAACTCATCCAATTTAAATTGGGCTTTTTCAGAAGTGGTTTGCCTCTTTTAGAAATTAGGGAGTTCCCCTGCCATAGAGAGGCATTTACAAGTACAATACCTCTTGACTTACAACTGTTCATTTAGTGACTTATGGAAGGTTCTCGCTCTTTACAATATCCCCATGGTCACGTGATCTAAATTTAAGCACTTGGTACCTGGCGTATATTTATGATTTCAGGGCAACTCTGCTGCCTTAGGGGATTCTGGGAGTTGAAGCCCACAAGTCTTAAAGTTGAAGCCCACAAATCTCTGCTGCCTTAGGGGATTCTGGGAGTTGAAGCCCACAAGGTTGGACATCCCTGCTGTAGCTAGAGTGTTCCCAATATCTCGGGGGTTGCCACAAAGAAGGGATCCCCCTATTCTGCGAAGCAATGGGTGGAAACTAATCAAGGAGAGAAGCAACCTAGAACTAAGGAGAAATTTCCTGACAATTCAAACAACTCATCAGTAGAACAACTTGCCTCCTTGAAGCACGGGAAGATTTGAAGAAGAAGTTGTCTGAAATGGTCTTGGATTTCCTGCCAGAGTAGGGGGGTTGGACTAGAAGACCTCCAAGGTCCCTTCCAACTCTGTTATTCTGTTGTTCTGTGTTCTTCCCAAGAGTCCCTTGACCCTGGTATTTCCACTTAAGGGTCTTTCTCCCCACTGAGGGAATCTTTTGCCTTGAAACGTCGCCAAAGGGATTTTATTACATTTTGATCTGTTGCGTGTGCAGAGAATTTGCTTTCACCCCAGGGCTTTTTTTTGTTGTTGTTGCAGCTGTAATTATAATGAGAATTTTCATGGCTCGGGGCTAGTTTTGAGAGTTATTGAAAGAAGCCCTTTCTATATTCCCTCTGCTTTTAGCACCATGCAGAGAAACACATCTGCGTAAGATGCCTTTGTTGTGCTAATGTAGAAAAGAAGCGGAGTTCTGCTGGCTGGGGAATTCTGGGAGTTGACATCACACATCTTAATGTTGCCAAGTTTGGAAAAACGTCTCCGTGGGGATTCTCACGTGTCCAAGCCGAGGTTTCAGTGCTGTTTTAAATCCACAGGCAGAAGCAGTCACAGTCTCCAGCGCTTCCATCCAAATGGCATGAGCCTAACACACGACATAAGCTCCGTCTCTTTTGTTACATGTGTGTAACTTCCACCATGCATGCACAAAAGGCATCTGATGTATCTTTTCCATTATTTCCCATTCCTTCCCCACCCCCCAACGAGGCTAGAAAGGAAGAGATGAGTTCAAGTCCCGCTTTAGCCATGAAAGCCAAGCTGGGTGACCTCAGGCCAGCCAGTCTCTCTCAGCCCAAACCACCTCACAGGGTGGTTGTTGTGGGAAAAGGAGGCAGATGTGACAGGGAGATGTGACAACTAATCACGGAAAAAAAGGACTGGGGGGACAGGATAGCAGTATTCCAGTATTTGAGGAGCTGCCACAAAGAAGAAGGGGTCAAATTATTCTCCAAAGCACCAGAAGGCAGGCCGAGAAACAATAGTTGGAAACTAATCAAAGAGAGAAGCAACCTGGAATTGAGGAGAAACTTCATAACAGTGAGGACAATTAACCAGGGGAACAGCTGGTCTCCAGAAGTTGTGGTTGCTCTATCACTGGAGGCTTTTAAGAAGAGACCGAACAGCCATTTGTCCAGAATGGTATGGGGTCTCCTGCTCCAGCAGGGGGTTGGACTAGAAGACCTCCAAGGCCCCTTCCAACCTTATTATTCTATGTTCATAAGTTTGGCATTGCACTTACTTGAGTTGTCTAAGAACAGGGATGTCAAACTGGATTTCTTCGAGAGTCAGATCAGCATTGTAGTTCCAGTGGTGTTATTGAAATTTTTTTATTACTGGTTATGTGGACGTGGCTTGGTGGGCATGGCAAGGGAAGGTTACTGC